GCCGTAGAGACCTCACCCTACCTCTTAGGGCTGCGCTCGCGCTCTCTTCTCCTTCGGACCCCAGCATGGCTGAGGGAAGCTTCCGCATGGAATCAGAAAGCTACAACGCTGAAGACATGGATGAGGGTAGTGATGAAGTCCGGGAGGAAGAGATGGTTGAAGGAAACGACTATGAAGAATTTGGTGCTTTTGGAGGCTATGGGACCTTCACCAGCTTTGACATGCGTCTCCTCAGGGCCTTTGGGAGCTTGGGTCCAGCTTTTCGCATCTTGTCGGTGAGGCCCTTTCTTGGCCACCCGCTGGCCCTGCTAAAGGGGGGAATGGGGTTGTTTGCAAAGGGGGGTGGGTGAAGGGAAGGGTTGATGGGGAAGGACCGCCCAGCCTCTCCAAACCAGATGTCTCTTCTGCCGGGAGAAAGGGGGTTGGGGAGGGCCTGGAAGGTGGTGGGGGCTGGCTGGCTGCCTGGAGGAGGCTGGCCAGCACAGGGAAACATGATGCAAGTGTGCAGAGTTGTCTGCCTTCCCCTACCCCTCTCTCCCACCTTGCAGAATGAGCCCTGGGAACTGGAAAACCCTACGCTGGCCCAGACTCTGGTGGAGGCATTTCAGCTGGATCCGGAAACACTTGCCAATGAGGCGGCCGCTCATGCTGCCAACGTAGTCCGTGCTGCTGCCTCCAACCGTGCTGCTCGGGCTGCTGCTGCTGCTGCACGTGCCGCCTATAATCAGGTGGTCGCTAACCACCTGCTGGCCACAGACCAGGCCTCAGGAGAAGATACCCAGCCCACGACATATGCGGCGACCGAGGCTCAGGGAGCTGCCACCCCAGAGACAACCCTTGCTTCTCCGCACAGCTCCCAGATGCCAGTCAACAGTGAGATGGCCGCCTCTGGGGTTCCAGCAACCTCCTCACAGCCCCAGCCAGCCTCCCAGGCCCAGGAGGTTGCTACTGAGGGTCCTAGTGCTGCCTGCACTTCCTCTCAGGCTCCATGTGCCAGCGAGGTGGATGCCACCCGGCCCGAGATGGCCTTCCTGGGCCGGAAGGATGTCTTTGATTTTGGGCAGCCAGCAGGTGTCAGTGGCATGGCCTTCCCGCGCCCCAAGAGACCCGCCCCGACCCAAGAGGCTGCTGCAGAGGGCCCCAGCGCTGCCTCTGGGGTGCCCCAGGCTGCAGCATCTTCAGGGGAGGGGGCAGCCACCCGGCCCAAGACGACCAAGTCTGGAAAGGCTCTTGCTAAGACTCGGTGGGTGGAACCTCAGAATGTTGTGGCGGCAGCTGCTGCCAAGGCCAAGATGGCCACCAGCACCCCTGAGCAGGAGGGTGCAGCTGCCACTGCTCAGAACAGTGCTGAGCCCTGGGCCAGGATGGGAGGCAAGAGGACGAAGAAGGTGAGTCTCCCTGTCCTCTTCAAAACCCCCTTGCTCTTCTCCTTTCTCTTACCTCTCTCTCCTCTCTCTCTCTCTCTCTCTCTCTCTCTCTCTCTCTCTCTCTCTCTCTCTCCCCCCCCTTCCTCTTCACCCCTCCTGGCTCCTCCCCTCCCTTCCCATATTTTCCCTCCTCTCCCCTCCCCTCCTTTCCCCTCTCCTCTTCTTAGCTTGTCCAAATTTCTCCAACACAAGTGTGCTAGCATGTTTTTACTCCACGTAGTCCCTACCCTCAGGTCTGGAGGGAGAAATGGTTGGCTCAGTGCCTGGCACATAGTAAGCACTCTGCACGTGTCATCTGCTGTTCCTACTACTCTTATTTCCAAGTACCTGCTCTGGTGAAGATGTTGCCAGGCCCTTTGGTACAGTAAGCTTGGTAGCCCTGGGTCTCTCCTCTCCCCAATGCTACAGTCCAAGCACCTGGATGATGAGTATGAGAGCAGCGAGGAAGAGAGAGAGCCTCTTGCGGTCCCACCGACTTGGAGAGCACCGCAGCCCCCATTGACGGTGGGGGCTCAGATGACCCCTCGGCCTCCGATGGCCCTGAGGTCCCAGGTACCCTCAAGGCACGTACTGTGCTTGCCACCCCGCAACGTGACCCTTCTACAAGAGAGGGTAAGAAGTCTGCCCTTCCTCCCTTCTCCCTCCTCCTCCCTTGCTGGCCAGTTCTTTGAGCTCACCCATGGCCTTCGCCTCCCCATGTGCTCTTCCTTCTCCAGGCAAATAAGTTGGTGAAATACCTGATGATTAAGGACTACAAGAAGATCCCCATCAAGCGCTCAGGTGGACAACTGTACCCCCACCCTGAACTCTGCCCTCCCTCCTCCCCCAGCCCTCCCCACTGGGTCCCCCATCAGGCCTTGGCTGATGGCTCCATGTCCACAGTACAGGGTCTTGACTCTGCTCCCCTCAGCAGGGCTGACCGAGGGGCTGCAGCTCCATGGCCCCCGCTCAGCCCAGGTGCTTTCCCCACGTCACCTCTCCTGCAGACATGCTGAAGGATGTTATCCGAGAATATGACGAACATTTCCCTGAGATCATTGAACGAGCAACATACACCCTGGAAAAGGTGGGTGTGGGGATGGGAGCAGCTCTGTGGAACAAAAGCGGCAGGGAAGCCTTGCCTAGCTTCTCCACCTGGGAGCTTCCACTACATACTTCCTCTCCTGGGTTCCTCTCCCTCATGCTCTCTGAAGCACCTGCTGTCTCCTGAAGTGGGTCCTATTGCCTCGGCCAGTGCCAGAGCTCCTACAGGCCAGCTCTTCCGCGTCCTCTCTTCTTCATCCTCCCCCATGACTTTGGGTTCCCTGCCTAGGAAATGTTTTGACAGGGAATGGAGTGACTGCCTGCAGGACACCCAGCATGTTTTTTTTTTTTTTTTTTTTAAACCTCACGTTCTGTTTTCTCCCCGTGTAGAAGTTCGGGATCCACCTGAAGGAGATTGACAAGGAAGAACACCTGTACATTCTTGTCTGTACTCGGGATTCCTCGGCTCGCCTCCTGGGAAAGTGAGAAGGGGCAGGGGGATCGTGTCTTTCCTAGGTGTG